AATTGTTCTCAAGGAGAAGTTCCTTTCAAAGGAACTGTATGAACAATTAGATCAGTTCTTAACAAAAGAACTGTTTAAACAGTTCAATGCTTTGGAACCACACTGAACTGTCCGACCCCTATTCTATACAAGTAATATCGATTAGGATTTTCAACTTTAGGTCCTCGTTTCTGAAAGTGGGTATCTACAATCATTGTAAGGGCGAGAGGTTGTATCCCCTACCTCCCAATAAATGAAAAATATGCAAGTTTTACTCATGAAAAGAGGCTGCATGTCGGTGTAGGTATTTCTTCGTCGCTGATACCTTTACCCTCACCTTCAAGATAAAATATGTTGTATATTTATCTTTTGTCTCTGACGATTAATAACTTATATTTGTTTTTACTTTTTCTTCTATTTTACAACGGTAGTTTCAGAATAAGCTATTAGCTATATACACAGGTAACGTAAAATTCTCGAAATTTCAGATTCATTCTTCAACAACTATTTACAATAATATGAGTGGTCGTAAATCAAAACGGATTATGCCCGCATTATCAAAGACTATTACTACAGCAGCAGCTTCGTCAAGTGCTGATTATCCTAAACAACGTATAGTCCAAAACTTCGTACTAATTTGGGCTGACGCCGATATCGACGAGTCGAAAAAACACTGTCAAGATATATTAGCACGACTACGACGTATTGTCAATGATGTCAAAATCTGCACTGAATCAAAACAATGTATGCAGCGTCTCAAGAGCATTAGCAACGAAAAGGCTTTTATTATAGTCTCTGGTGCATTAGGTGAAAACTTAGTTCCCGATATCCATTCCTTAGCTCAAGTAGAAGCCATTTACATATTTGGTCGTAATATAGACTCGCATGAGCATTGGGCACGAAACTGGAGCAAAATCAAAGGGATGTATACTGAAATTAAGCCAGTTTGTGAAGCATTACAATTGGCTGCCAAACAATGCAATGAAGATTCTGTTAGCATTAGTTTCGTATCGGCGGGTATAGAAGATTCCACTGGCATTAGTTTGATTTCGTCAGATGAAGAAGCTTCCAGTGCGAATCTAAATCAATTGGAGCCCACATTTATGTACACGAAAATCTTCAAAGAAATACTTTTTGAGATAGAACATGGCAAAGAAGCCATTGCACATTTAGTAAAGTACTGTCGTGATCTTTATCAAAGCAACGCGGGTGAATTAAATATTATTAATGAATTTGAACGTAGTTATAATCCAAAAACTACTGTTTGGTGGTACACTCGAGAATGTTTTACTTATCAAATGCTCAATCGTGCACTTCGTAATTTAGAAAGTGACACAATAATTAACATGGGGTTCTTCATTTGTGATTTACATCGACAAATTGAAAAATTACATAAAAAACAGGTTGATAGTTACAATGGGACGACATTTTTAGTTTACCGTGGACAAGGCCTTTCGAAAGCTGATTTCGAGAAACTTCGAAAGACAAAAAGTGGACTTATTTCGTTTAACAATTTCTTATCCACCAGTAAAAAACGAGAAGTTGCTTTTGAATTCGCTGAACGTGCTTCGAAAAAAGACAATATGGCTGGCATTTTATTCGTGATGACGATTGATCCTTCAGTTTCATCTGCTGCATTCACTGCCATTAAGGATGTTAGTTACTTCAAGACAGAAGAAGAAATTTTATTCTCCATGCATACGGTGTTTCGTATTGGTGAGATTAAACAGATAGAAAAAGACAATCCGCTCTATCAAGTAGAACTTAAACTAACAGCTGACGATGACGAACAACTTAGCATTCTTACCAAATGCATACGAGAGGAGATTAATGGTTCAACAGGATGGAGACGACTAGGTAGACTGTTACTCAAGATAGGACAGATCAATAAAGCCGAAGAAATATACATTGCACTGCTCGAACAACCATGTAACGAGGATGATAAAGCACATTATTATAATCAACTTGGACGTGTGAAATATGATCAAAAAGATTATGAGAAGGCGATTTGGTATCACGAAAAAGCAATTGAAATCAGAAAAGAAATTACTTCTCCAAATGATCGTTCATTTGCTCTTTCCTACAGCAACCTCGGTATAGCGTATGGCGAAATGAAAGAGTACACGAAAGCGCTTTCATTCCACGAAAAATCACTTAAAATTGAACAGAAAATTTTGCCTCCGGATCATCCTTCGTTGGCTACTACCTACACCAACATCGGTGGAGTGTATTGCAACATGGGACAGTATTCAAAAGCGCTTCCATTTTTCGAAAAAGACCTGGAAATCTGTCGAAAAACTCTTCCTTCAAATCATCCTGATTTGGCTACGCCTTATAACAACATCGGTTTTGTCTATACAAATATAGCACAGTATCAAAAGGCACTCTTCTATCTCCAACAAGCTCAGGATATTTTAGAGCGTTCATTACCTCCTAATCATCCTTATATTAAAAATGGTCAAATAGGTATTGATAAAGTAAAAAGGAGATTATAATTAGTAATAATATTTGATGAACAAAATAATGTTCTTTCATTTATTTGAAAACAAGAATAAAGACCAACAGTTAACGTAGTTAAGGTTTTATATTTTTCATTCTACGACAAATTTTGCTTTTCATGAGACAGTTGGGCGTGGGTGTGGGTATAAATGAGGGTGTAAGTGTGAGTGTAAGTGTGAGTGTGGGTATAAATCAGGGTATGGGTGTACCTTATTTATCTTACCACACCCATTCTCAAGGTGATGTTTACCGTTCGTTTTTCTGAGTTTCTTTTTTCTGTTGCTTTATCACCACCTAAAGAATATAAGTGCCTGTGCATGTTTTAGTTGATGGCTGATAAGAGACTTTTCGTCGACAAAATATCAAGTTATCAGTTAAAACTTCCAACTATGTTTTTCGTTAGAAAAGAAGGCTTCGAATATGAGTTTTATCTTTTGAAATTTCCAATTTGACTGGGGTCTCGAATAATTGAGGGTGGGTGTGGGTGGGGTAAGCA